TGGGCAGGAGAGCGCCTCAAAGCTCGCTCAGCACGCGGAGGAATAGGAGCACGAGGAGCCCTCCCATCTCCTCGTCCCTCCGCCCCGGACTCCCTCCCTGCCTGCCTGCCTGCCTCCTCTGCATCCCCGGCAGCAACTTCCCTGCCGGGCTCTTCTCCTCCTTACTCCTCCTTCACGCGCCGCCAAGCCCTCTCTCGCTCCGTCTGCCTCCCTCCCTCCCTCCTTCCCTTTGCCGCCGCTGCCGCCGCCACTGCGGCCGCCAGAGAGCAAGCCTGAGAGCGCCGGGCTCCGTAGAACGATGCTCTGGCTCCTGAGCTGCTTCCGAGGAGCTCGGGCTCAGCCGCTCCTCTCGCCCGGGCTAACCTTTGCCGCCTGGCTCTGGTTGCACCACCTGGGACCTCCCATGGCACTGGCTTCCTCCTTCCTGACAGGTAAGGATGTCCGTCTTGGGAGGCGGGAGAAGGGAGTCGCACGCGCTCAGCCGGCCAGCCCCCCGGGCGCAGCTCGCGCCCCGGAGACACGCCGAAGGGGGATGCTCGCATCTGTGTGCGGCATCGAGTTTTAGTGCAAAAGCCAAGTGTCAGGATGCGTGTATGGAAGCATGCACGCCGCAGCAGTCCGGGGCGTCATTCTTGACGGAAGAGTTCTGTGCATGGAAGGGTCACTTTACGGGCTTCGGAGCGGGGTGGGGGGAGATGGGAAGGGAAGCCCTCACTACGGTTCCCCCCCCCCCGCAGTCTCTTTCCATTCTGAAAGCACGCGGATATCATACAGATAGGATCACGGGCCTGGCAGCCAGGATTGGCTGCGATTCCCTTTTAAGTGTGAAAGCTGGGTTTGGTGCCAAGGAACGCCTGGCCCCTGTCTTGGAGCCTCATGATGCATTCTGAGGATAGTTGCCTGTAGACGGAACACCTAGATCAGTAATGTTGGGAAGTGTATGAGAACAACTGGGATTTTCACCCCTCTGATCCAGTACTAAAATGATAATAAGGAATCATTAGTAATTTCATCTGGTATCATTAACAGCAGTGGGTTTACAGGTGTGGATTTGGTTTAATGCTGGCACTTAATATCAAATCGTTGTCAGAAAGAGGCACATGATTGTAGCATATCTGTTACATGGTTTCCAAACAAGTGAAGGACCGAAGCTGTCTTCCCTCCCCCATTTCTGATGGACCTGATGCATAAAGAAATCATTTGTAGATACAGTATTCAAGAAGTTTTGGAACACAGAAAATTATACCAGCATAGGACAATCTGGGGGTCACCAACAGAGGTTCCCTCAGTTGACTTGTTTTTTCTTTTTTCTTTTTGGAAAATTGATGCTACTATTAGTCTATAGTTTTTGAGCTTTTAATACATTGGTGGACTGTTGATCTGACCCATCAAAAGCAGCAATAGAATTTTTCCCCATTCATTTCCATAGAGAGACTGTGTGCTCATCAACATTGTCTAAAATTCATTTAAATGCATGAGACTCCCAAGGTGTTTGAAAGGATGAGGAACACCCCTCTTCTAAGACTCATGTATGGCATTTATAATGAATACTAAATGCAATTATTAACTATCAAATCCCATTATTTCTACTTCTCATGGTTTCAGTTGAATATTTTTGAGAGGGCAATTAGGTGACAATATGAAGAGAACTTTTGAAAGGTTTTTGAATGTTTGGTATGTTTAGTCTGATGAAAAAGGGATAAATACTTATTCTAAAGCTGGTCCTATTCATTTAAATGGAGCTTACTTCTGCATAAGTCCTTTGTCCATCTAAAGAAACCAAGCTGCTTGAATGAGTAGTGAAATGTTTCAACCTAATAAGAAAGAAGTCCGCTTGCCATAGCGCAACTTCCAGATAACCTCACCTGGATGACTGAGAATCTTCACAGATACTTCTGCATAAGTGTGCTGAAGTCCTGCACAGAGCTAGTTTAATTCCAAATTCAGTGTTGAAGGTGACCAGTGAATGGACAAAGTGAGAGAGGGAAAGTATTAATTTTAAAAATTCCTCTACAGGCTCTGTTGCAAAATGTGAAAAGGAAGGAGAAGTTCTACAGATCCCCTTTATCACAGACAATCCTTGCATAATGTGCATTTGCCTGGTAAGTGTGAATTCCATTGATAAGATCAAACAAGAATGTCTGGTGTAATCAAATATTGCTTATCTTTTTTCCTTTGTGCAACCGGAGGTTATCTTGCTTCAGTATGGGATACAAACATTTCCAGGCTGTAATCTTGGAATCATATCCTTGACTTTTAGCTTAGACACAAATCTTTCAGCTGACTTTGTTCATGACATTGTGTGGTTACCTGACATTTTGTTTACAGGATGTGTGTTGTTTGTGACTGAGGCTGCCTCCGTTCCCCCCACCAGCCCCCTCTAATGTCCCTGGTGCTGAAGCATTGCTAAATGTTCTTTATGAAAGTGGAGGTCACCCTTATGGCAAAACAGAAAGAAGAAACTGACACTTAGTTTGAACCTTTGCTCATTCCATCCCAAGCTCTAACAAATGGCATCAGAGATAAAACAGATCACTAAGGCAACATGAGCCAGGCAGGGTTGGGTTTTTTTTTTCTTTCTTTTGGATGAGAGTTTTTGGTTTAGAAGTCCTAGGTCTGCTTTCATAATGTAATATGGTCTACTTTCAGGTGCTACTTTCTTGGCTAGACATATTGTAATAAAAATACAATACCAGCACACATGATACTTTTAGCAGAAAACTGTACTTGGAGGATGACACTGGCTGTTGTTTGTTTGGGCAGTTCAGATTCCATTTTAGTTAACAATGACCCTTGTTTGGATTCCACAGCAAAGGGGCTGCCCCTTATTCTAACAGTGTATCTCAGTTTCACAGTAGGAACAACTGGCACACCTGACTTTGAGAACTCCAGAAAAGATATAACTCATATTCAGAAAACTATTTCAAAAGTTTTTTTTTAATGTTTAGCACAGAAGTCATATGGGAACTACAGTAGGAATCACTGTATTCATAGACTGGAAAATAAAGCAGAGCATTGGATCTTGCAAAATGTCTTTTTGGCTATAACACAATGATTTTCCACTTGTTGGATCTGAAATGGAGACAGGTGTTCTGGGCCACTGCTTCAACAACTCTTAGATTTCAGTTATTAAGATATTCTGCTCTCAGGGCAGGCAGGTGTGTTTGGGCACTGTTGAAAAATCCACAAAAACCTATGGACCAAAGCTACTGATAATAAATTTAGAGGAGGAAGAGAGAAGTGGAAACAAAAACAAGGATGGATACAGACGTTAGATATAAGAAATGGCCTAGGGCTTCAGTTATCCTAAAGATGTCTGTAACCAGCTGTTTGTGTGTGTCATTTGTTTTTGTTTTTAATATATCATAGACATTAGACATAGTTCTTGTCTTTTACCAGTTCAAGTCTCAGCTAGGGCTCTAGTTTTGCTTTTCATAAAAAATGGTGTTGAAGGGCTGTCATTGTTAATACAGTGCCACGTCCATCATGTTTGTTGCAAACTTCAAAGAACAGCTCTTTTCTCTCATTATTGTTTTGTTGTTTGGTTCTCCATTACAAGAATTTCTGTCACCTTTTCACTTAAAAAGAGTCAGTCTGCATATAAGTGATCCACAAGTAAATGCTATGTTTTTGTGTGGGGGTCTGTGCATTGCTGGTTTTGGACCATTCCCACAGCTTTGCTATCTAACACACATTTACAGCCCCCACCACCACTATGTTTGAATTAGAGTTTGGATACTACACTTCAGCTGCCTGCCCCTCAATATCTTAGTCTATCCAGGGTTTGTTCCAGTGTGAAGAGATTGCATGTTGGATCCTACAGTACAGCACCTTGGCCTTCCCACTTTTCCATTTCAAATAATTAAACAGGTATAGATAGGTGGAATATGGGCATACAGAGATCATACTAGCTGGATTCTGAGAGTTGTACCAAAGAATTTGGTTTGGCATTCAGTTGCCATCATTCTAGATGTAGCTGTGGTTTTGAGTAACTGTTTTAGAGGCCTCCCTATACCTTTGTCCTTCTGTCTTTTTCACCTCATTTCCTGGTAGGGAAAATCCTCTGATATTATGCTGGGGACTAATATGTGAGAGAAGGTGGTAGAATGGTATGGTGGGGGAGGGGGGAGAAAAAGAACCCCCAGTCCCATAAATTGGCTGATCTCTCCCCCCCACCCCCCCGGCTGAATTCTGGGACTAGGAGTTGTCATACATCAAAAGATAGAGCAACTCTATTAACTGTCTTCCTTCTTTCCTTCCTTTTCTGCAAACAAACCCAGGTCTCCTGAATCCTAGTCAATCAGTCTATCCAGTATACCACACTGGGTATGTCATACAAGTTCTAGTTAATATTTTATCTTAATATGTCATGTATACAGAATTGTAAAAGTTTCCACTAAAGGGACAGATCTGATTGTAATGAATTAGTACATAGGCACACTAGAGTATATGCAAAGGACATTTACATGTATAAACCTTAAATCACATTTGAGCTCTTTTGCACTATTTATGTTCACATCTGATCCATGTTCATACAGAAGGGAAAGTAGAGGAGAGGCATTTTGCAGTGTGAATGAGCCTTCTGCTGATATAAAAACAATAGCCTGTCCCCTTTGTCCCACAGCAGAACATGCTAGTGCAGTAAGTTATAATTCAGCACAATGCAAACAAGTGGATGTAGCTCTTAAAAAATCATGCAGGATTGTTACTGGCTGCCTGAAACTTACTCCACTTGAAAAAGTCTATTATTTGGAAGGCATCCCCCCTCTGGAGATATGTTGAGAGATGCTAGCAAATGATGAATGAAATAAGGTAATACAGTACCTAACCCATCTACGTCATGGACACTAACCTTCTAGAGTCTATATGATGACTAAAATAGAGGGAAAGTTTTCTGCACACATCCCAGTCTCTAAATATCAAACCATAAGACGCTAGGCTGTATCTGTGGAGGGTGAAAATAACATACTCTGCAGAATGTATGAATGTTGAAAAATGTCTCCCATCAGGACAAGATCCTGGCTGGACCATCTGGAAGTCACTTAAGAGACTTTGAAATGAATTAGGAAGATAAAATAATAATCAAGAAAAATGGGGCTCCTTGAATACAGGACAGATTTTATGTGAATTTGAAAAAATTCAATCAACGCAACATTTATATGCATGCAATTTATGCCCCACCAGTGTGTACAAAAGAAGATCTAGCAGATGGCCAAGATAATGCTATTGACGTAGCCCATTTCTGGTCAAAAATAGTCTAATCATCTGAACATTTTATATTTGTTTGAATTTTATCTACATTCCATATACAGTACATCCATAATTTTAAATTGTGCAACACTGATACAAAGAAAGAAAGAAAGAAAGAAAGAAAGAAAATTGGTTTTAAACTACATCATACAGAAATTGAAGCAGGAACTGCTTGAATTCCCCTTTGTTGAAACACCTTTAATCTTACTACCAGCTTTTAAGATTATTTCCACTTCCAGTTTCATGGCCTTATTGACTCAGATTGGAACGTACTTGTACTGCAAGCTACCTTCTAAAAATGTTACAGATAAACATTGTGGATATTGACAATCACTTCTGTATGAATGTCGATGAGGGCAGTTATTTGTACTTGAATAGTGCCTTCCACCCTTACTGATGAATGGAGTTTTACACAAAATCTGTGCAACCTTAGGTACAGTGAAGTATGTGGAATGATTTGCATGAATGTCTTGGGGGAATACAAAGTAGGGAATACAGCCTTAGGCTATTATCCTCTCAAACAAGGAGAACATATATACAAAAGCCAATTGAAATGCATTGAAAACCGGTTCAATGCGTTCCAATGGGCGAAATACCATAGCGTCCAGCGAAGATCCTCCATAGGGCAGCCATTTTCTGATGCCTGTGCAGTGAAAAATCCGTCCTGAACACAGTGGGGAGCCATTTTGGACAGCCGGTGGCCATTTTGAAAACCCGGCGATCAGCTTTTTTGAATGTTGTAATATGAAGAATCGGTTCCCGAAGCAGGGAACCGGTCATCGTAAAGCGGATTTTGTACATTAAAACACCATTTTGCGATTGCAATAGCGATCATCATGAAGCGGATTCGTCATCAAGCGGGGTAATCGTTAAGCGGGGCACCACTGTATATAGTCACTTTACTCTTGCAAGTCAGGCATGTGGTTGTGGGTCTGTGACCACAGCCATAATCCATCCTTTCTCTGAGTAGAAAACAATGACATTAAGCATGTGCATGAGAATCATGTTCTAACACCAACAAATTCCGTTCTTCACATTCACTAGGAACATCTGAAAGTGGCCTTCTTCATTTATTCAGTGAGATATTTGTGAACAGTTCATTCACCAAGAGATCTGAAGCAAGCAGCAGGCTTGTCCTGGAACTTTAAAACAGCAGTACACAAATATTTCTGACCTTGAAACCTCATCTACCATTGAGTGGCAGTCCTGGGGCAGCACAAGTACACCCATACTCCCCCTCACCCTCCTGGTTGTGAGTGAAAGTACTGTAGTAGAGTTCTCTTGGTTGTGCACACATACTTTAAAATAGGAATTTTCAAGAGCAGCGTCCTTTTCAGCTATGCCCCTTTTCTTTATAATGGTGTGTAGTAGGCTGGTGGTTACATTGCCTGGGGCTTCTGCCACATGATCACCTTTTCCTTCCTATTTAAAATAGGTTTTAGCCTCACAGGAGGCATGCTGTAGCATCAGTATCACATGGAAAGTCTCTACATGGCTTGCTTCCAAAACATGCAAATCATGCAATTCAGCTCATTATTCAGAGCAGATGCTGTAAAGCTACTTATCTGGTGTCACAGTTCAATCATCCAAAGAGGGAAAGGGAGTGGTAGAACTTTCAGAGTCTTGCTGTTCCTTCTGTTATTTCTCAGGTCTCAATTGCCTTTTTTAAAGGTCTGGGCCAATGGCCACTTTTGCTCATTCTTGTTGGTGTGGTAGCAGAAGGCATATCTGGGGAAACTCCCAAATGGACTTGCAAGGAATTAAATGAGCATTCAAACATTGCTCACATGAGGCAAGAAGGCATTCACTAAGAAGCTTATCTTCACCTCATACATTCACTTAGTTGGGCAGT